TGGCGCTGTGGCTCAAGTGGTAGAGCGCTAGCCTTGAGCTGAAGAGCTGAGGGACAGCGCCCAGGCCTAAAGTTCAGGCCCCACAACCGGACCCCCAAAAAAAAAAAGACTAAAGGGATAAAATACCTGTACCATTGATCATGTACTATTGAATTTTAAGGTAGGTGGCTTGAGTAAGACAGAAAAGTTGCAATTTTTTTCTTACCATCATATTCATATTTACAGCTTTCGTAGAAATTCTAGTTTGTCAGTTTTTAAGTATATCCTGTTTGAAAACCTATTCTCAAGGAACTCAGCTAAGTTAGTGGCACTATGAAACAATACTAGTATGATAATGGCATGTTCTTCCCATGGTAACATTTTTTACTTAACATGTTTTAACTTTAAAATGTAACTCCAGTTCTAACTGCTCTAGTAATACTTTCAACCATAGGCCTATATGTATCAGCCATTTAATTCCTAATTTATTTCAATTAAGGGAAAATGGGAGTGGAAATGAGATATTAGACATATTAGATATTATTTCAGGCTTTATTTGATTAAATGACCCTGGTTACTATAATTCATTTTGTCATCATTATTACCATTTTATGCTTCTGGGGTGTCATTATAATACCATGAAAAAATTATTTTCTTCAAAATAATTATGCTTATATGAGCAACATATGAGCTAATAAAATTCTTCTGAGCACTATTTACTCTTACTTTGCTCTGGTTCCTCTTATCTGTTTAATATAAAACAAAGATCTCAGGTATTTTGATCTGCTGATAGAGCATTTCTGCCCTCTACCTCTTGGTTCTGTTACTTTGACAGCTAATTTCTAGATTCAAATTAGCTTAGTAAGTAACCCAAGACTAGAAAATTTTAAAGTTGACCCTTATACATTTATTTTAATGGAATTCCTAGTATTGCAGTCATTAAAGGAAAATTATTTTAAATTGGATAAATTACTCACCTCACAGCACTAAGGGATGCTCAAAATTATTGTACACTCTATTGTACACTCTAATATTCTCTATGTTGCTTTTGAAATCCCTTGTGAATATTTGGTCATTCCTACTGATCTTATTTCCTCCCATTTGTACTTGACCACCCAATTTGACTGTGACTCACAAAGCTTCTTAGAAAGCAATTGAAAAGGAATAACCCTGCAGAATGACTTTCTCCTTTTCCTCTCCATTGCACATAGCTGATTGTATAGCAAATTATAACAACCAACTGGATAACAAACAAACAAATCTGATGCTCCCTGAGTCAACTGTTTATGGTGATGTGGACCTTAGTAACAAAATCAATGAGATGAAAACCTTCAATAGCCCAAATCTGAAGGATGGGCGTTTTGTCAATCCATCAGGGCAGCCCACTCCTTACGCCACCACCCAGCTCATCCAGTCCAACCTCAGCCACAACATGAACAATGGCAGCGAGGATTCGAGCGAGAAGCACTGGAAGCCACCTGGTCAGCAGAAGCCAGAAGTCGCCCCAATTCAGTATAACATCATTGAGCAAAACAAGCTGAACAAAGGTGAGGGCTGGGAATTGGATGTTCAGCCTTCTGTGTCCCGATGCTCTTAACCCTTCTGAGCTCTCTGTCAAAACTTGCCTGTGTCTAGCAAATGCAAACTTTCCTTTTGGTCCTGAGGTATTCTTCTTTCTTTGGTTTCTTTGGTTTCCAGTGTCAAAGAGTTAATTAGCACAACAATACCTTGGAAAATTGATTTTTATAATAACATATAAGTATCATCAAATGGCTTTGCGATTAATTTAAATTTGATAGTAAGTGAGGGATTGCTCGGGACATGCAATCTTTTATTCATAAGGCAGATGTCCAACCGTCACAATGCCTCACATTTTCAATAAATAGACTATCCCATCTTTCCACTTGAGGATGGAAGATAATTGCTTCTACATGGTCCTATAAACGAATGGTATTATTTTTTATATCAAATTGAAGAAAAAATAATTAAATTAAACTTGAACTGGAGAAGTGGTTCAATTTGTTCTATCACTTCATATGGTTACTAAACTGCTTCGATGTATAATTTTAGAGCCTAAATTTCCTTGGCTGACCTGATTGAAGTCTGTCAGGATAGAACCTAAAATAAATTGAGTTCACTATTAACTTGAAACAGCAGAATAGCATTTTATGGCCTGGGGGGAAATGACTCTGTATGGTGCTATGTGTAGGTTGGAATAGATAGGTATTTGATTTCTTTGTAGTTCTTCAGGCTACTGCTTTTAAAACATGATTTGCAAAGTTATACCTCCAGGAAAAGCAGAATTGCTCTAGTTTCAATAAATGGGCAATATGGTGCTAGTATCTAGGTATAGAATGCATTTTATCATAGCTAATTAGAGACATAGAGTTGTTCTATTCAGGCTTCAATTGGGAGCATTTTCTTCAAAAATAAAATTTATTACAACCCCGAATTACAAGAAGATAATGTAAATATTTTATCGGATTGAGTTCATGTTATCTGTTTTAATTGGAAAGTAACATTCTCCTAGCCTTTTCCCAAGCGCTTGACTGATCTAATAACCCAATTAAATAAGTGCTTATTAAGATTTCTGTACAAGTTCATGACAAAAAATGGAATTGGTGAGTTTCAGCAATCATGGGGTTTAGCATGCAGATTCTGACATAATTCTTTCCTTAGTTTATAGCTCGTGGATCGCTGTGACAGTGTTCTGTACAGATATTTCTGAACTCTGATTTGGGTTTATGTTGCTTATAAGCAAATTCAGTGTGTTAAAGGATAATAGATATCCTGGAATGCAATGAGAATGATTATTGTTGACTGTATTGCACTGGCAAACTTATCAATTGGATTTTCAAATTTGCCTAAGTAAGCAGAGGTTTCTGGGAAAAGATTAATATCTTTTACTTTCATTAAGGATACATTTTATTAGGTACAAGCTTGCTGACAAGTTTTTGTTTTGCTGTATAGATTTTACTTTTGACACATGGTCTCGCTAGATAAGCTCAGGCTGACCTCAAACTAAAGCCTCCTGAGTGATGGAATTATGTGTATTTGCTGCCGTGCCTAACCTAATTTTTGTTTTTTTATTATTTGTACACATGATTTTTTGACTTATTTAAATTGTTTTGTTACCATGTACGTGCACATGTACTTAGCGATGTGCATATATAACACGTACATGCGTGTAATATGGATATGAGGGTGTGGGTGAGTAGAGGCGTTCTACCACTGAGCTATACCCCCGATCCCTGTAGTTGTATTTTATAAATATTTACCTCAAATATATGCCTTCACATATGCTAACAGTATGAATATAAAACAAAGAGATAAGCAGGCAAATAAATGATCCAATTGGTTCCTTCCTTTATTCAGACATATAGACAAACCAGAGATGTAATGTAATTCACAAAGAGAAAAATGGACACTTATTTTTTCCCCTCTAAAATGTCTAGATTATCGAGCCAATGATGCAATTCCACCAACTATCCCATACAACCAAACGTATGACCAGAACACAGGAGGCTCCTACAACAGTTCAGATCGAGGAAGTAGTACATCTGGTAAGTGAGGAGTGCCAAAGAAAATATCAACCTCGCCATCAGAACAAGAGCACATTCCAAGATCACTAACAGAGTGTTACTGGACTTGTGTACTCACATAGCATACAATCAATTTATGTCCTTGGAATTCCAGACCTGAGTCTGGTCTCTGCAAGTTAAAGGAGTATCCACCCTATAAAATCTCTTGTTTTCTACTTGGAATAAAATGCTAGGCCCTTTGTTTTTCTTTTGGTTAATGAACATCAGTAAAATCAGAAGTATGCCCTAACCTTTAATGAAAATAGGAATGTTGCACATGTAGTTATCTACTAAACATATGACCATTTGAAAGGAGACTGTAAAAGCAATAATATGAGGTCACTTAGGCATGATGAAAGAGGGACTCAATAACCTGAGATGTAGGTACAGTGGGAAGCTGACTTAATCTCCGTATATTCTCTCTGTTCTTACTCGAAACCTCACAAAGCAACCTTGCCAGCCCTAGGATTCGCATTGCTGCTCTTCCCTGTGGTCTTCATGCTGGTGCAGCTGTTTGCCAGCTGTTTTCCTGATAGGGGCTGCAGCTGGCCGCTTACTGGTACTTAAGTCCTGTTTTTCTAATTAAAGGCGGTTCATTATTAGAAGGAACATGTGGCAAGTCACACCACAATGAAAACAAACCGATTGATCTTGAGTGGAGTATGTTTCTGCAAGACAGAGTAAAAAAAAACAGCACCTCCTGGCAACTGGATATAAGTTGTCTTTAGATTCTTTTAGGCAAGAGTCTCTACCTCTGTGCTGTAATGAGTATCACATTTGCTATTTTGCTGCCTTTACTTCCTTAACTATGCTGCTTTGGTATTTCCTATTGTATGTGGAAATTGTTTGGATGAAAAGTTTAAGCCCTTTACGTTTCAGGGTTCTCGCAGATTCCGCTGTCTTTCTTTTAACAATTAAAATATTATTTAATGGTATTTTTCAAAGATTAACTAAACCTTAGTTGTATTTGAAAAACCTTAGTCTGTATTTGAAAATGCTACAACATAGTTAAGTTTATCATTATATTCAATGTCATCTTTGAATTTCTAGACACTTGAACAATGCATATTTTCATAAGAAATAAAAATAAGGTTGTAAGTCATTAGCTTTTAACCAACCTCCATCCCAAGACCCAGATACCTAGATCTCTGCATGCTGCTGGAGCTATTTGTTATTCTGTGGATATTTGGTGAGAAGATTACAAAAATGTGAAATCTGGTGATAGGAGAGATGGGGGAAAAAAGCAAGGGAATAAAGTGTAGGTGTGTGTGTGTGTGTGTGTGTTTGCGCACGCAGGCATGCATTTGTGTGTTTTCCAGTTTTCCAGTACTGGAGTTTAATCTCACGGCCTCATACTCTGCTTTGGATTCTTTAATTCAAGGCTAACACTAACCACTTGAGACACAGCCCACTTTGGCTTTTTACTTGTCCATTGGAGATAAGAGACTTCTCATGGACATCATCATCATCATCATCCTAAACTAGTTGTTCAAAGGAGTTGCCACTTAACAAAGCAGTTTATGAATGCAGCATATCTTGATCACCCTTTTGACATTCTCGCCTATCTCTTATCCACCTCTTCTTTCACTTTTATTCATTTTGTAGGATAGATATTGGATTTTTGTCTGCATTTTCCCCATCTTCTCCTCTTCATTGGTCCAGTCCTTTTACCACCCTACCCTTTGCCAGTCCCTGCTCCCTGGAGTTTTATTTTGCTTAACATTGATTTTGGATTTCTAAGGAACTGAAGTATTTGAGATCTCACTTGAATCAACCGTATTTCAGTTCATCACATTTGTGTATGTGTGTGTACTCCCAAGCTTATTTACTTAGGAGTTTGAGCACTAAATCTCACTTCCATAGATAAGGGAAAACATGGATCCTTTGTCTCTCTGTGCCTGACTAATTTTTTCGAACCTCAGACCTCACATCCCAGCCTTGTGAGCAGCTAGGATTGCAGGCATGAAGCACTGGCACCCAGTGATGTTAACCTTCTTAAGACTGCTGGGGTGATTAATGATTCACATGTGTCAGGAAATCAAGAGAAGACATTGGTTAATGTCATCTTGATACAAGTGAAGAAATAAAGAACAGAGACAAAGAACATAGCATAGCATAGTAGTAACAGCCTGTTCTTTACCCTCCTGTCCCTCCCCCAACCCCTACATACACTTGACATGTAAGAATATCTGGTATGACAAATAATGCCATTGACTGAAAACTCCCAGTAACTTTAAGCAAAGACTCTTTGTATAAGCTATGATCTGTTTTATTCACCATGTGATTCACTTAGGGTTAAAAAAAAGTTAAAGATAATACACTAATACAAAGAGGTCATATGAGAAAAAAATTAACTGCAAACTCATGGTTGAAAATTATATATAAACCTGTAATATATAATAGTTGAGGAGTATTTTGTCCCCAAATATATTTTGATCCAAAAAATTTAAAAAGATGAGTATTATATGTACAGCTTTCAATGATTAAAGAATATGCCAACTCCAAAATCCAAACTTGAAGCACTGAGCTGCTTCAAACTACTAATCTCCAACTACGTTTTTTTTTTTTTTACTGGAAATTCTAATTTTATTGAAAGAACGGCTGAAAACACTTCTTGAAAGAACATTTTTCTGACTCTTTTGTCATTAGTTATATTAGTTCTTCTAGCAATTATATCCTTCTCCGCCTTCTTTTCTAAAGAAAACTAGTAATTTAATTGTGCTTAAACCATTTCAATGGACAAGTACAAATTATATATATATTCAGTGATTTAATGCAACAGTGAAACTCTAATAGATCATATCTGTATCATATTGTAGTTTAGGTTTCAGCAATTAAATAATAGAAAGGCACGCCAGAAAATATGTCTACAGCTCATTTGTTTTAGATGATAATCCATAATACAATTAATTGCTGTAGGAAGATCACTATTAGTGATATGACTCGTAAAATTCGTTTTTGCTTTTGTATTGCTCTCTTTGCTATGTATTTTCCTGTTAAACTTGGCAGTATTTTGCTTTTCCACTTATACAAAATTCTGTTTAAAATTAATGAGGAAAACTGTATCTTATCTCTCTCTCTATAAATTATAAGATCATATTTGCTAGAATTAATTAACTTCGGGACAATGGAAACATTTTTTTAAAGCTAGAAATAAAAGAAGTATGTTTTATTTCTCTTCTAGGGAGTCAAGGGCACAAGAAAGGGGCACGAACACCCAAGGTACCAAAACAAGGAGGAATGAACTGGGCAGACTTGCTTCCTCCCCCTCCAGCACATCCTCCTCCACACAGCAACAGCGAAGAATACAGTGTTTGTGTAGATGAAAGGTAGGGAGACATCAAATAGAAGTCAGTGTGACTATTTAAACCAGTACAAGCCATTCTTAAACTAGATGGCCAAGAGACTGCTTCTTTGGATGGACAGTGTTGACATCAGACCATAAACCCTCTCCAAGGTTGCCTCCCCAAAAAAGAAGAATTCATATTTTAGAAGATTCTTTATGAACAATATTGCACACATTTTTGTGTGAACATGTGTGTTTACACACATCTATGTAAAATCACCTGACTGAGTTCAGGTGTATAGAACTATATGTGTCATTTTGTGATTTGTGCACCAGTGAGAGTCATTTCAGTCAGCATTGGGCCACATCTATGATGACAGCTTCAGAAGAGTATAATGGAGGAAGAAATAGTGATAGTGCCTGGTGTTGTAACTGTAACTTTTCTATGTTCAGAAATGTCTAGCAACAACACAAATATTAACCATTTTGTTCAAGTTGCCTCCTGTATTCAGCACAGCGTTCTGGTGAGGTTTACAGTGTTGGAGAAACAGAGTGCATCTACTTAGTGTCGTTCTGTAGTGGACTGTGTCATCCAGCTTGTGTGAACTCTTTGGTCACCAGCAATGCATGTCTTAGAACCTAGGAGCACATGTTACGTGCCATGTTATGGTGTTCTGAAAACTATTTTTCCTTAGATACTCCTGCTATGCTGGAAATGGAGGGAATTAAAACTTGTTAGCATTGATCATCAAAAGGAGCTAATAAGTGAAAATAGTTCACATTAAAAACCTTAGAACATTGAACCATCTCTAGGAAATGTCCAACTAAGCATGGTACTACCAAAGTAAACACAACATCAGCTTCACAGCAGAACCAAGAAGAACTCACATGACATAAAATTTACTACCTAAAACTAAAATCTACCTGAAAATTCTTTCCAGTAACTAGAAATAAAAATACTTAATTCTTTCTACACACACACACACACACAAAAACACACACATATGCACATACACAAACACAAGTGTTTTCCAGTTCCACTCTACTCAGATTCAAAGAATGTATACTGTTCTCCAATAATTTTAATCAAAGTAATCAAGTAATGTTTTATACAAATGTATTTATACACAGTCCTTGTTATCCATACTTTGTAAGGTTACTGTGGGATTCAGCCTGTGTTCCATGTGCTGTATATCTTTGATTGTACAATAGTTTAAAATGCACAAAGCATTGTTGGCATGTGACTATGCAAAGCTAGCTCATGGGTCAAATTTTTCCCATAGTCCATAGTTGGCGAACACCTGTACTACAGAATCCATAAACACCAAACTTTGTTAACTGACAATTTGGTATACTGTAATACCCTTCAGTAATGTGACATATATCAAAATTACAACTGTCATAACTATTATAAGTTGAGGTATACCATTAATTTTAATTATTATAACACTGTACCATTGTAAGAATCATTCAAACTCTGTTTCTCTACTTTCTCACCAATACATATTAGGGTTGCCTTATATTTTTCACTATTCTAAAAATCCAACAATAATGATATACTGGTACTTCTACTTCTAATGAAATTGTTGCAAACACTGAGTTAGCAAATACTGAACCATTGTTCCTGGGGTAAATATGAATTTAGATTACTTTTTTATCAGTACAGACTCATGTTTTATGTGTGCTCTGATGAAAGATACCTTATTTAATATATATTTGTTCATTAACATGAAACACAGCCAACAACACTATGTCATTACTCAGAAAAATTCATCTCTCACAGAAATAAGGCATGTCACAGAACTCTTGTGCTTATGAACATGGAATCACACTTCAGTACTGATTTTAGGTACTGTTTTAAACAGGAAACCAAAAAATAATTCAAAATGTGGGGCTCTAACTAAGCTGTGGTAGAAGAATCGATCCTTAGGTATCTTCGGAACAGTGACAAAAGAAAGCAGGATATAATGTTGTTTTACATCAGCTGTGCATATTCATGTCATGGGCTCAGATTTTGGGTCCGTTTGTGGGGATGGTCATGAAAATGTTACCAGTACTTATTTGGGGGATTACAAATACATTTTACTGAGTTGGTGAACTTGAAAATAAGGAGTCTGAAATAGCAAAGATCAATTTAGCTGTGTTTTAAAGCTTGATTCTCCCGGCTATTTGGATACATTTACTCCTATTTTGGTTTACACAAGTAGACTTAAAATGAAGTATGTTGATTTAGATAATTAAAAACAAGAATTATAGATATCACTATAGGCCAAACTGAAAGAATGATTTTAACTGGGAAGAAAGAAGCTTTGCCAATCTGCCGGTTGTTCTTAACCTTGTCACATGAGAAGGTTCTCAATTAAGAGGAGAGTTTCAGGGACATAAAGACCACACAGAGCTGTGGACTCCTGGAGATCTAACATGAAACACATGGCAGGGAGTGAGAAGAAGCTTCGAAAGCAAATGCAAACCAGATTATGCTGAGACGTGAATGTCTTGCATTGGCATTTTTTTCTCTAGGCAATTACAGAGCCGTTTATTATTTTGGAGCAAATGAATCACCCAAGAGTGCTGTGCATTATAGTAAAGTAATTTTGAAGCAATATGAAGATTTTAAGAAAAGAGTGACCAGAGGCAAAGAGATCAATTAAAAGATTAATGCAGTAACATGTAACAGATAAAAATAAGGGAAGAGACTCAAGATATTTTATAGAAGGAGATGAATTGGTGAACAGTTGGAGAGAGAAGAGAAAAAGGAGCAATGTTCTACATGATTTATGGTTGATGAGTGATCAAACTGCTATGTTACTTTATAACAATGAATGTATATAGAAAAGAAATGACAAAGGGTGAGCTATTAGGATTAGAAAATAAAGTAAGGTACAAAGCATCCACATTATTTGAACATCAACTTTCCTGAGTTAAGAGCAACAAGACAGGTAACGTAATAGAGAATGAGTAGGGATTTGTGGTAGCAAAGTACAATTTATAGAATGCAGTACATCAGAACCATTCTCATTGACAGGCCCATAGCATGGAGGGTGAAGAAGAGGCTGAATTTCCCCCAAATTCATCTTGTTTTCCTCACAGCTCTAAGCAGAGGAGAAGGGCATTTCATTCTTCACGGGCATTGTCTTTTCCCTCATCATCCTAAATACAAACCAACTTGTTTTTTTCATGTCCAACTAAAGAAATAGTGATCGTTTACAGGTTCAGAGAAAAAGGCGATTGTATTGGATTAAAGTTGATTTCCAATGCATCTTCCTTTGGATGGAGTGAGAGTACTTGTATCCAGAGTTTAGAACTTCATCTTGGGCAATCTGATATATCAATTTTAAATAAGAGAACAAATTGAAGTAGAGGAACAAAATATACCAAATACATCTGAGATATACGAAATTAAACTAGGTCCAGTAGATTTCTTTATTGCATAAAACCTAAACCTATAAAGATAAAATATGTTCACGAAAGTACAGAATCTCAGAGGAAATAAATTAGTAGTCATTCATAAATCTGTGTTAACTGAGATATTTTTAACAATATCTCATTAATTTGAGAAATTTGAAAAACTATCCCAATTTGAATCATTTTTGAAAACCTATTCAAAGAATAGATTTGAAATAAAGCTGATATTTTACTCACTGTACAAATCATTTAATCAGAAATTTGAAGTAAGTCAATATGTTCTTATAATCTGTCATAGCTATGAACAAGAAATGCCATGCCCTGTACCACCAGCAAGGATGTACTTGCAACAAGATGAATTAGAAGAGGAAGAAGATGAAAGAGGCCCTACACCCCCTGTGCGAGGAGCAGCATCTTCTCCAGCTGCTGTTTCCTACAGCCATCAGTCCACTGCCACTTTGACCCCTTCCCCACAGGAGGAACTCCAGCCAATGTTACAGGATTGCCCAGAGGAGATTGGCCATGTGCAGCACCAACCAGAAAGGAGGTATGGTACTAATAACATGTGTTCCAACCTATCAGATTATTTCCCCTCACAGTGGCAATATCAACACTGTCCCAACTAATTCACAAGTTGCATGGTTACAATACTGTCCAGCAATGTTGTTGACTATCACATTAGGTTAAATGATCCCTGAATGGGTAGGCTTAGAATAATATTCACTGAAACCCACCCACGTAGGATAATTATTAGGGTATTTAGAGTAAGCATTAGGATAATTCAGAAACACATGGTTTGCTAATTCCATAACATGTCCCTTTAAGTTTTCCTTATGTATAGGCAAGTCAGAAAATAAAATTAAGGGCTGGGAAGGTGGCTCAGTGGTAGAGCGCTTGCCTTGCATGCATGAGGCCCTGGGTTCGATTCCTCAGCACCACATAAGCAAAAAGAAAAAGACCGGAAGTGGTGCTGTGGCTCAAGTGGTAGAGTGCTAGCCTTGAGCTGAAGAGCTGAGGGACAGCGCCCAGGCCCAGAGTTCAGGCCCCATGACTGGACCCCCCAAAAAATAAATAAATAAACACTTGTGCTTTAAAAAAAAAGAAAATAAAATTAAGCTCATATGTTTTTTCTCTCACAGCTGTAACGTTACCAGAAGATGAGTTTGTTACATTCATTTTATGTTCGACTCAGATGCTCTTATTTTGGCTTAGATAATAGATGGAATGTTTTCTCCAGGCTACTAAATCATGTGTGTATCTATGTGCATGCATGGGTATGCACAGACTATTTTAGACTATAGATTGAGCATCACCAAACAATACATTTTTATTGCATATAATGTTGACACTTGTCATTTCTATGACATAAAAGCTGTTACTGAACATGTTAGCTCTTGTGCATTGCAGATAATTTTCTTTGTACTATTTTATTGCCCTGGATACATTACATTATGTTATCTATGCCTTCCCATATTCCTAATATCCTTTGAAAGTGAGTATATTATTTGCCACAGAAGGTTTTCCTTCAATATTCTGGAAAGTATAATAAACTGTACTTTATGGTTCTTGAATTTTTCTGTGTAGACTGAAAAGGAATATGTAAGACTTATGAACTATTATATCATTAAGAGGTTATTAACAGATTCAAATCATACACTTTCTAGAATAAAAAAGTAGTTAAAACTTATTTTGTGTGACAAGGGGAGGGAGTTGGATTGCCATTTATTTAAATTTAATACTATTAACCTTTGGAATAATAGGAAGATTGAGAGCACATAAACCCTTTCTTTCCTCTACTAAGGTCAAGAGCCATCTCTCCTATTCTTATTAGAAAAGAAAGATAGTCTAATAGAGACTATTAAGCTCAGAAATACCTTCTTTCATTATCTAAAACTCTCCATTTCCTTTCTATTCTCTCTGTATTGCTAGTGAAAACTGCTTCTTCCTTTTGGCTAGTCTATTCCTTTGTTTTCCCTTACAAAATCCTTTCCATCTTCCTGGCAAACAAAAATCAATTCATTCTAATCTTATCATTTGTCATTAAACTTATTTCTTGCTTTACTATTTACTACTTCCCTTAGCCATCTCTATTAATTCCATGGCCTCCTACTGTTTAGTATTTTTAGGCTACTTTCTTCCTATTGACTCCCCCCCCCCCTCCGGTACTTTAGCCCATTGCATTCTGGCTTCTGTCAGGCTGATGAAAGCTGTCTCCTAATGGTGAAATGTAAAGGCTTCTTAATCTTTATCACACTTAAGCTTTCTTCAATGATGGCAAATTGGCAGATCCTTGTGAGAATCAAGTGAGATAATGTACATTAAGTTTCTCAAGTAGGGAAAGTATTCAACAAATAATAGTTACTTTACATCCTCATCTTATATACCACTCAGCTAGTTCACCTGTTACTTGAAATTTTCTGATGGCTGATGCAACTAGACCTCACCATTTCTTTTTCTTTTTTTTATGTATCTTTTTTAATTATATAAATACTGAAATACTGTACAGAGTTACCTCAGTAGGGTAATGAGTGCATTTCCTATCGTGCATTGTTACCTCCTCCTTTGTTTTTCTCCTACCATCCCTTCCCTCCCCAACTCCTCCCTCCCCGGCCCCAAAATTATAAAGTTCCATGAGATGTACAAGACACTATGTTGAACTCACCATTTTCTTGAGTACAACAATTGTGACTTTCACTTAGACATCTTCATGTGTCCGAATTGAAATTAATCTTTTCAGTGAAACTTTTTTTAATTTATTCTTTTTTCCTACCTAATGGCTAGCATTCATACACACACACACACACACACACACACACACATTTGGAAAGGTGATGTACAGAAGGGTTACAGTTACAAAAGTTGGGTAATAGGTACATTTCTTTATGAACAGTGTTACCCCCCTCCCTCATTTTCTCCCCAGGTTTTCCCTCTCTTCTCCTTCCCCCACAAGTTGTATGGTTCATGATTAACATAATGTCTAATGAATATCACTACTGAATTAGCTCATCCTTTGTCCCACTGTTTCTGTGCTTTCCCTACCCCTTCCCAAATCAGAAAAAACTTTTACATACAGGACAAAGTGTACAGAAATGAAAACAAAAGGGATAAAACAAATGAAGAAGAAGGAAAAGAAAAGAACAGCAATGCATACAATAAAAAAAAAAAACTCTTGTTTCCATTTCTTGGAGTTCATTTCAATGAGTATTATTTTATATAATCATATGCACATAGCTATTGAGCCCTTGTGATCCTCTCCTAAGAATGTCCTCCTTTGGTCTCACTGTGTGAATGTTTAGTAGATGAATGGATCAAGAAAATGTGGTATATATGCACACAATGGAATTCTATGCTTCCATCACAATGGATAACATTGCTCTGTTCATAAGGAAATGTAAATATTTTGAAAAAATGATATTAAGTAAGCAGGACTCAAAGAAACATAGGCTGCATGGTTTCATTTGTAATAATTAGAATAATTAGAAGTAAACAAAGAATAGTAAAAGACAAAAACCTATATACTTGGACATGATTACCTAATGGCTGTCTTAACTTGGATTATCAACCATCATTTATTTGATAAATATAGTAAAAATAGCAAAAGTATAAGAAATTTTATTTTTAATTTTTTTTACAATCTTGTGGCTTGAACTCAGGAACTTTATGCTGTGCCTGAGGTTCTTTTGCTACTTTTTTTTTCTTTGTGTGTGTGTGTTTTTTTTTTTTTTTTGGTCGGTCATGGGGCTTGAACTCTGGGCTCAAGGTGAGCACTCTACCACTTGACCACAGCACCAGTTCCAGTTTTCTAGTGGTTTATTGGAGATAAGAGTATCACGGACTTTCCTGCCCAAGCTGGCTTTGAACCTTGATCCTCAGATCTAGCCTCCTGAGTAGCTAGGATTACAGGAGTGAGCCACCAGGGCCTGGCTTACTTTCTTTTGAGTAGTATATTGAAGATAAGAATTTCACAGATTTTCCTTTCTGGGCTGGCTTCAATCTGTGATCCTCAAATTTCAGCTTCCTGAGTAGTTAGGAATACAAGTGTGACCTACTGGTGCCCAACTGGAATTTTTTTTTTAAATAGTCTATTTTAAAATAAGCTTAGTTAGTCTATTTTGTATTACCATGACTCAACTAATAGACCAAATTCCTTTAGTGATAACTCCAAAATAGCTCATGATTTTATTCCTTGGTTTTTATTCCAACAACAACAAGCTCTCAGTCTCTATTTCTTGACATACTACCACACAGTTGAAAGGATCTTCAATTGTCTTCTCCCTTCTCCATACTCAGGTTCTTTCTTTGCAAACAAGTCTAGATGTTTCCTTCATTAAGTCAGATTGCACTGTTTAGCCTAGGTTCAAAGACTGTTACAATCCTTTACCCTTTACTTATTTTTTTTTGTTCCCATTCCTTTCACACACTCTTCTCATCTTAAGTCTGTTTGAAATTCCCTGAATTTATTTGAAAGTTGTCAATGAGGCCAGGGTCTTACATATGCTATCATATGATTTTCTAGCCAACCTTTTTTCCTCTTTCCAAGTCCTTCTCAAGTGTCACTCTCTGTGGAGCTTTCCTCTAGTTTTCTGACAAAATCCAGCCAACCTTCTTTCTAGTCTTCTGGAAGCTTTGTTCACATCTCTGTCACCATGCTAACTGGCTTTTGCGTTGCTTTGCATTCACTATCCGTATCTGTAAATTCAAAGCTCCCCCAGGACAGAACTCATATCTTTGTGTTTCATAAGCTTCTTTCCAATATTTGATAAGTAATCTGGTATGTGGTAGAATTTGGCAGTGAACTACTTCTTACTGTTTTAGAATAATAAAAGCTTGATGAAATGGACACATATAATCACGAAATGCATTAAGTATTTGGCCCACTGTTCACAAAGGAAGTATGGATTTGCCAGAATCATTTCTGGAAATAACACTAATAAAAAGTCTATAAAAGTTCATTAAAAATTAAAAACTTCTAAGTGTCTTTTAAATGATGAGTGTATATCCTATATGTTTACTATAGGAAATGGTGAACCATAGTATATTAAAAACAACAACGATAAAAAAAAAACTTTTGTGTCCCTATCTTGGGATTCATTTTGCTTAACATCATCTTACATGGTCTTATGTACATAGCTTTTGAACTTTTCTGCTTATCTGTTAAGATTATCCTACAAGTTTACTAGTTATTGCAAATAAGGGAAACCATGGGAGTATGTTTCTTTGGGTCTGGCTTACTTCACTTAATGTAATTTTTTCCAAGTCTTTCCATTTTCTAACAAATGTTCTTCCCCCATGGTATAACCCCTGTTTTTACTGTATTTGTTTCTAGTGCTCTACATCTTGTATATACATTTTTCTAATTTGGGGGAGGAGAAGGGAATAATAAAATTTGTGAAACAAGGATACAGATTGACCCATTGTAACAATGAGACATACAAGACACTATATTGACGTTGAACCTTACAACTTGCGGGGAGGGGGACAGGCATGGAGGGAGGAGCTGGGGAGATGGGGAAGGAAGGAATAGTAGGGGAAAAACAGAGGAGGGGG